AATTAATAAATGTGTTTAAAACTAATTTATCGAATCATAAAAACTGAGTTATATAAACTGAGTTCCAATAAGCTAATATTTTTTTGGAACCTACCTACAAAATTTCAACGAAATTCAACGACAAGATTTGATGAAAAAAACCTATTTGTTAATAAAGATGCATCTAAAATGTGTAGTTTCCGGAAAACCAACAACAGCGTTGAGCGACCTCTAAATCTTGTTCAAATAAGCTGAAATTTTAGAAGGTACTTGTTTTCGCTCTTACCTTCAAGAATCCGAACGTTCTCAGTCGAAATTCATAAAGTTCCAATTTTGAATCACCCTAATGTACATACTTAAAACTATTAGCAGTCGATCATTTACGTTAATTATCAAATTATTTGCGACGTTGAACTCGTTGGAAATGATGTCAAAAACTGAGGCTGCCTTCAGTGTCGACTTTGTTTTTACTATGAATACGCCCCATCATATTATCAACAGTTTGTAATGAAATTCTATTTCTGTTTTCATACTGGATCAATTTTAAATCTGAAAATATACGCTCTGCAGCTGCAGAGCTATTTATGAGGCAAGTATAATAATTTAAAAATGACTGAGGTCAGCTTTTTATACATACAGGGTGACAAGAAATAACGGCGACAAACTTCAACGAGGTCGTACTCGTGAATGAACCAACATAACTGTAAAATTTAGATCACGTTGAATTCTCTACTTAATACTGATAACTAAGTATTCATTTCGCTACCTAATTAAAAGTTTTGAAATTTCGAACAAAAAAGTGCTATTTCGGTTGCTCAACGTTCCTCGCCAAACTGTTTCCAAAGCAATCCAGCGGTTCAATGAACTTGGCCAGGTGATCGCCCGGGACGTGGAAGAAAACGAACTGTCAATACACCAAGGAACCGCCAGATAATCAAAAAGCAAGTTCAGCGAAATTCAAGGCTTTCAATGAGAAAAATTGCCCGCGAAACTGGTATTGGTCGTGAAACTGTTCTTCAAATTGCGAAAAAGGAGCTTCACATTAAGCCGTACAAAATTCCAAGAGCGCAGTTGCTTACGGATGAAAACAAAAAAGTACGGCTGGAAAGATGTCGACAACTCTTGCGTCGCACAGTGTAAGATTTTACCCATCTAGCTGCTTTTAATTATGTAATTCGAAAACTATTGAAGATAGATGAATGAAATTTTTCACAAGGTATGTTATAAGATAAGCGAAGCTTTTTACAAAAAATTGGTCATTAAAGCTACTGCCACGCCACCCTATTATATAACTGCAATTTTTAAAACGGCAAAAGCTTAAATATTTAACTAACTACAAAGGCTAAAATGCCCAAAATTGATATTTAGAATTTCCCTATAACAATGAATTATAAACTGACAAAAATGGACTTAAAAAAATGTATTTTTTTTTGAATTATGGGCGTGAAAAATATCGATAAAAAATCAAGTTGGGTCAACGAAATTCCGTTATAAGTTCAATATTTCTTGCTCTATTTACAAAAGTGGGATACTATTGGAAAGGTTATGAATTAGGCTTTCTCTATTCAAAGCGGAAATACAAGAATTTGTCTCGGTCGAGAAGAAATTCAAACAAATTACTAGAAGAAACTGAAATTCCTAGTAGGGCTGAAAATGAAAATTTCATTAAAACCTGCACTTTCCAGCAGCTAAAACTGTGTTGTTTAAAGTCAAAGAGGAGTGGTAAATAAACTGAGATACAAACTTTATTGAATAGTGGCGGATAACGAGTTTGCGGGTCTAATGAAATTAATAAACTGCTAAAAATAAATCTAAATTAACATCGTTTTACTTTAACATGAAATACTCAGTCCTAGTTGACTAAAATCCCAAAAATGTATATTCATTAAAAAGAACATACCTAAAAAAATAAGACCAAAATGGTATTTTAGCAATTGTTGCCAACAAATTAAACAGTGAGATTCAGTTTCAAGTATACAGTTTTAGATAATACTGCGCTCGGTAATCTTCCAAATCGAATCCCGTCCGTTATTGTTTCGTCTTTAGCAGGCATTTCTAAAAACATTGTTGACGTTGTTTTGAAATTTGGCGACATAAAATAATGTAATTAATATTTTCTAGAATGTGGAAATAATACACTGTGCGTCGTGCCGCAAATGATCGCTGGGAAAAAATTCTTTTCACTGATAAGAAACTGTTTACCATTGAGCAAGTGCACAACCGTCAAAATGATGGTCAAAATGGTCGGCACAAGCTCCTGGTTCATCACACATCGTCGAGCACCGCCAAAATCCCAAATCTGTGATGGTTTGGGCTGGAATTTGTTCATCCGGCAAAACACCTCTAATTTTTGTGGATCAGGGGGTTAAAATCAATAGGGAAGTTTACCGTCGTAACATTTTGGAGGCTGTGGTACTTCCTTGGGCCCAAGAGCATTTTGGCGAACAGGAATGGACATTCCAACAGGACTCGGCTCCTGCTCACAGGGCATCAGAAGTTCAAGACTGGTGCAAAGACAATTTTCCGAACGTTATCACAGCTGCAGAATGGCCACCGTACTCACCAGATCTTAATCCCATGGATTACAGCATTTGGTCAATTTTGGAGACCAGGGCTTGTGCTAAGCCACACAAAAGTTTGGACTCCCTAAAGCAATCACTGCGCCGTGAATGGGATCTTATTTTGCTAGAGGAGCTGCGGCGTGTGGCCGTAAATTTTACCAAACGTTTAAAGCTCTGCGTTGGTGCCAAGGGAGGGCACTTTGAATTCGGTTTAAACACAAATTAGTAATACCTAGTACTATTGTAATTATACATAAGTTGTTTCCTTAAATTTTGCTAAAATTATAGAAAAATATGCAAAAATGCTTGTCCCCGTTATTTATTGTCACCCTTTATTAATTTGTTTATTGATGAAACATGGAAATTTTAAAGGAAAAATTAAATAAAAATGAAAAATATAGCTTAATTAGAGTCGAATCTCAATTCAAGTTTCGGAAAACTGTAACATCCGATTCAGGAAAACAATGAACGCAAGTATGGAACTTAATTATTTGTGAAGAAATAAATAGCCCAAACATTAAATTAAATTAGAAATTGTATGAAAGCGACTGTAACAAAAAAAATATATATTATTAAATATGTATATATTAGGGAATATTGCTAAATCCATCGTAGCCTATTTTGTGAAATTTATGTTATTGTCATTATTGAGTCCGATAAACATTGGTGCAATTCGGATTCATAGATTTCTTTTCAACAGGCATGCCAAAAATTGGACAATGTGTGATTTAGCAAAAGACCCGAATAACTAGCATAAATGCTACACTTCATCGCCGATATATTTTATGAGATCAAATTCGTAAAGAAGTTTCTCGGCCTTTTCGGGCCAATTATGATTATTCAAAGAACGGGGGCTCGGATGAGGAAGCTTACATATTTTCAAACTACTCGCATGGCGAGAACGTTTTACCATGTCGTGCATGTACGATCCGATCACCACCAAAATTTCCGTTTTTAACAAGTCTAATTCCAAGTCCAGTACATCTAAACATGCTTTTCCAATTTTTGCTTTATAATCACCTTTTAACTCACTAGGAGTAATATTGCGTCCGGCACTATCGTAAAAAATTAACGGACAAAAGTTATGTACAAAACATTGGCGACCAAAATTATTTAATGATCCACCCGCCAACTTTTTAAACAAACTCCAAATTCGTACACCACTGGGTTCTTCGATATTGCACTCCAATCCTGATACTGACCGCTTTGCATGTATCGAAGGAGGTTGCTGAACTGAACCTGTCAAGCCCATTTCATCACGAACAGTCAAGATATTACCAAACGGCACCCCAGTTTGGCCCATCCCATTCGACCCTGGATTCATACCAACAAACACAACACGTTTCGGACCATCCAAATACTTTTCCAAGTAGGCGCAATGTATACTCGAAGCATATTCCACAGGATTGTAGACATGAGTAATACCAGGTGGTTTTAAAATGTTTTGCAAATCGTTATTTAACTTACACTCAAGTGTGTAAAACCGACTCCAAATTGATTGCTTTGTCTCAGAGCTTTTGGAATGCAATGTAGTTTCTGGAGGCACAGTAAACACTTTTGAACAATCTTCAAAGCAGGGTCAGAATTCGTCAAATCGCACATACAGAAAACTGTCTGCTGCTTTTTTAGTGAATTTATTATAAATCGGTAACCATTAGGCGTCTTTAGTTTTTCCTATACTTACTTAAAAAAAAAACTTTATTTTACCTTTTTTTATACTAAAGTTTTTCTAAAGTTTTGTGTAGTTTGTCGTTCAAATTTAAATATCTCGACAACCGCTGGTCCTATTTTAGTGATTTAAAAAGCATTACGACGTACAATTTATAAGCTATTACAATTTCTTATAATATTTAGTAATACCCTTTATACTTTATATAAGAAAAAAACCTGTTTTTTGAGCTTATAAAAAATTTTCTTCTGCGTCTCAGGAAAAAAAATTAAAAATCTCAGCTATAGACCTAATTATGAAGAATTCAATGCTGTTTTCAAATTTTTGAAATCGGCAAAACCAAACAAGCGACAGCAAAAATAGTGACACTGTGCAGCAATACTTGGTGTAATCAACACTTCGACTTACAGTTATTCAATACCCTCTATCTGCATGTTTCTCAAATATGATACTCTGCTTTAAAATATCACCTACGGCTAAACTGTCGTCGATGGTGTTAATATTGACTTTGTATATTGCTTGTTAGAAGAATTTTATTTTAAATTGCAAAGATGGAATGACTGTTAAGTCCCAGATGGGTTCTAACGTCAGCAAGTACTTTTTGTAAAAACGACGCCGCTATGAGTCAAGCTATGCGTATGCTTTGCTTTTTTGAAGTGGATTTTTTAACTTTGTCCATATTACCTGTTGACTTGCGTGCATTATCAACATTTATTTAACTTGGTATGTGCTAATTTGATTTATGTGTATATTTTTATGACTGAAAAAATCAGGGACGTGAACCGGTTTTGAACCGGAAACCGCTTTTTTCTATTAATTAACTGAACCATTAACCGAACCGAAGTTTTCCACAAATGTTTGATCCGAACCGAAAACCGAACCACTTTTCATAAAGGTTTTAAGGTTCTTTTCAACCAATTTTCAATATATAAATGTACCCACTTTTTTTCTTTTTGTTAAATATGTTTATTTACCATGTGGCAATATCAAATATTAATGCAACCCATCTCATTTGACAGACACTTGACAGTTAACCTTGCGCTTTGTTGCACTTGACACTTAAACTTGCACGTTTTTTTTTTCTTTTCCGAACCGTTGAACCGAACCGAAACCCCGGTTCAAAGACCAAAAAACCGCTTTGACTTACCAATCCAAAACCGGTTCAACGGTTCGAACCGCTGAACCGAACCGGCCAAATTTTTCATCCGGTTCACGTCCCTGATTATTATTATTATAAACTCTTCATAGTCTGCTGTAGACTTGTATCAGATTCTATAAAATATTAGTGTTATGAGCACAAGCACGTGTAATGGGCAGATAACTTATCAGATTTATGTGTTGCAAAAAATCTACTTGAATTATAGGCAAATATATAGTCAAAATGTTAAGAGATAACGGTTTCAAAGGATATTTTACAAATGTTATTTTCGCTTTATTTCAATAGAATAGTTATTAAAATTTAGCAGTATAATGCTCAATTCGCAATTGTTCATGAAAAGACTTTCTTATATATGTGTTATTATTTATAAGCTAACCAGCCGTCCTCCTTTGAGGAGGATTGTCCTCCTCAAACGTGATTTGTCCTCCTCAAAAATTTTGTCCTTCCTCCTTTTGAGCAAAAATGTCCTCCTTGTCCTCCTTTTCATGTTTTGTAGCAGTAATGAACTTTTAAAAAAATTGCGTTCAGAATATTATTATTTTCTAATCGTTGTATTTAATAGGCGTTTACATTGTTCCAATTTCAGTTAAATGATGTAAACATTTGATTCGACTAATCGCCTGCGAAAGTTGAACAGTGAACAAGATTGATAGATTAGCTAACGACGCGTCTCCACAGGTGGAAATTATTGCCTACCATATGTCATTTTGTTTGCCAGATACATACATATGTAGGTATAGGTTTTATCAGTGGCAAAATTTGTGTATGAGGATTTTTTATCTTGATAAATGGTTTTGTAAGATGGCTTAAAATAAGTATGTTCGTTGCATTGGAGCGCAAATCTGCTTAAAAATTTTTAGAAAATGTGTTATTTCACATCCAAGTACGTAATTAACCAGACCTGTGTAGTTTGCCTCTTAAAAAATTAATTAGCGATTTGGGTATGTATAGGTACCACGCTACCAAAAACATAATAAAATTTCATCACGAAAACTTCGAGAAAATTATTTTTATACTTTTTTTTAGCATTGCCGTGCATTACTAGCGTTAACTTCAAAATAACATAAGTCGTTCTGATTTACTTAGGCTCTTTATGAATATTACCACTAATACTATTGGCTTTTAAGTAAAAATTATATTCTAAATAAATTAAATTTTGGTTTTTCATGGAAATTGCTAAAAATTCTAACATTAAGTACATGTCATCAATAAAAGGAAATCTCGACGTGCTGGAAAAGAACCAGCGATGTATATGTATTTTTATTTAACATACCTAGATTACGGCTGCCATAATCCTGAACTCATCGACTAAGACACTTATCATCCAAATCAAAAACGAAGACACAAGTGAATATGGTGCCAATATATTCCCTATAAGTAAAGTTGTTTTGGTTCTGATATTGTAAGCAATGTAGTTTTGTGACACAATTCGTAGAACTGAAAGGTTGATGATGATGAAACGTTCAAGTTCTGAATATTTAATTATAAACGAACAAATTTATCTTGACGGTGACGTAACTTTGAAAAAGCGGCGCCTTTAACGTGGTCTTGAATGTTTTCCCAACCACCATCAGCGAATTTCCGCATATCCTACAACGCACTTCATGACCATTTTTGCCAATTTTTGTATTCATAAGCTGAAGATAATTTAGGTAGGCTGTCTTAAGTGAAGCCATTCTAAAAGACTTACCCAACAAGGACTGAAAAAAGTGATTATACTTACTTAAGTATATGTTTATATTACTTAGCATTACAAAAAAGATTCAATAGGAATTGCAAGTCTAAATAAAACAATTTGATATGAACATTAAATAAATTCCTTAAAGAAGTATGATTTTTATAAATTAAGAAAAACTTTAAAAGAACTTCTTCAAACGGCCCTTCTGAAAGCTCTTTTTTTGAGTAGCGAAAGCAGAAGCCCTTCAATTTGTGCCGCTCCATACAAAAAATGAAGGAGAAAGGAATAAGTTTCAGAAAAGCCTTTTGGATAAGATTTTAGCTCCTGATATTATCTACTGGATAGTATTTATGTATGACCCCTCAGTCGTGTACCTGATCAGGAACTTGCACTTTTTCGGCATTCGCCTGAAAAGAAAAGATTTTAACCAAATAAACAAAACAGAAAGAAGATATTCAACATGTTAGAAAAAACGTTTTGGTTTCAGTTTTCGACTACTAATGACAGAAGGCTTATGGGTCGATTATGTATAGCAACGCAACTATGGTTCGGTTGGCAGCTTGCAACGCAACTGAAAAGAAAACTTGTATTACAAATGGCAACTATCGCCAGTTGCTGAAAAGTTTTCGATTATTGAAATTTGACAGCTCGTCAACCAGCGCAGGATTGTAAACAAGCAAAATAATCGCAAAATAAAAGTGAAATAAAGTTATTAATATAGAGTTTTTAATAATAAGTCTTGCTACAATGCTTAGTTCAATAGAACTATTTTTTGAAGAGGAGGAGGAGTGTACGAACGCAGCATCAATCAGGCGACATTTAAGGGATAATTCCAATCCTTTAGAGCTGCCGCCGGCACTGTAAGTAAATGTTAGGATACGTTTTAGTTATTTGTACAATGATTTTAAGTTGTGGTGTTCAAACGCGTCACCGGAATTTTAAAACTTTAACATATATGTGAGTCAAATGATGAAATTCTACTTTTTTGTAAATTTGTATGTGGGTTCTGCGCAAAAGTACTTTGGATGGCGTAGCCGGAATTATACGCACAAGAAATGTTGTATACCTTTGACAATAGAAGTTTGGACTGTGATCTTTGTAATGGGTGGGGTTTGAGATGCAACGGCCCCTCTCCCCCCGCTGCACACCACAAATTCATTGTACCAATAACTAAACATTTCCCAAAAGTTAACGCTTGGAAGACTTTTTATTGTGATTGTTTTTGATTTCAGATTTAAAGCATATTTCCGACTTCCAAAAGAAGCTGTATTATATTTGGTAAATACATTGAGGAATGACTTTAGGGGGAACCATCGTTCAACTGCAGTACCTCCGCTAATAAAAGTTTGCGCAGCTTTCCGATTTTTTGCAGAAGGAAGTTTTATGAAGTCTCACGGCAATGACTTCAATTTGGGACTGGCGCAACCTACGATGTCGGTTGTTTTAAAACAGATGCTTCAACTGATTGAGGAAAAAATTTGCAACCAATGGATTACTGCAAAAATGGCCGAGGAAGAGAAATCCAAAAACAAGAACTTCTTTTACTCGAAAACGAAATTTCCTGGTGTTGTTGGATGTATAGATGGGACACATGTGCATATAATGGGACCGATGGAGGATGTTCGCCACTTATATATGAACAGAAAAGGATATTTCAGTTTGAATGTTTTACTGGTGAGTTATGTTATCCTGTATGGTTATTTTGTACGACATTTCATTTTTGTTTTTTTGTAGATGTGCGATTACCAAATGCGGATACGGTATGTTGATGCTGGACATCCAGGATCTACTCATGATGCTTTTATTTGGAACAATAGTGATTTGAAACAAATGGTTGCTGATGATTTTGGTCAGAACACCTGGCTTCTAGGTTGTATTTCGTTAATAGTTATGAAACCTTTTGATTTAACCTTAAAATACCTAGGTGCTTCTGGATTTCCATTAGAACCACATCTTTTGACCCCTTTTCGTTCAGCGGAACGTGATAGAGCGGACAAATGGCGTCCTTAAGTCTATATTTAGATGTCTTTCTGCTGAAAGGGGCCTGCACTATAAACCTGACAAAGCTGGGTCAATAATAAATGCATGTTGCGCGTTGTATAATATTGGTTTACACTATAAAGCAGACTGGGAGGAAGATCCGACAATCTCGCAAGAAGTTGCAAGTCCAAATGTAACCGAGAATGATAACACCGTAGCCTCTGATATAAGATATAATGTAATGCAATGTTTAAATGAATAAAATAATCTTTTAGTTGAATAAAGTATTTCATTTTAATTCAATTTTATTAAAAGTAAAAAACACATTTATATCTTTTTAGCGTTCTTCATGTTTATTCATTTTCAGGTATGAAATCAACCTTTTTTATTTCAACTTTTCATTCAGTTTTCCTTAAAACTAATATATCACATATTGAATAAAAGGTCGTCCTATCTCGGCAGCCAGTTCGAAAACGCCATATCTCAGAAAACTTCCTAATAACGCTCTATTTCAGAATTTGATTGAAGAACGCCCTATTTCAGAATTCGAATCAAAAACGGCCTATCCCACTATATTTGCATATGAGATATGGCGTTTTTCAATCAAAATCTGAGATAGGGCTTTATTGAAAACTTTTCTGAGATACGGCGTTTTCGAACCGACTGCCGAGATAGGTACCTTCATTAAAAGATCAGGACAATCGAAGTGTGGGCCAGGACTCCACGACAATTTGTCTAAATCAGGACAAATCCTGTAAAACCAAGACGTCTGGCAGCCCTAACCTAGATCTTAAAAAAAAAAATAACATAATTATTGGAAAGGGGAAAAATTAGATTTCGCAGGCCTGTTTAATCCAATCAAAACAGCTATTTATTTTTAAATAGTTTCTTATAAAAATATAGTTCATTCTATAACAAACACCATAAAAAATTCACATTTCAAACTATGTGAAACTGTTTAAACTTTTGTTTAAGAATTTTGGGAAATGTTTTGCGTATTTTATAGCCCATGCAATTTTAGTCAAATAAAGTGCGAGTTTCATATATCTACAAAATATCGTTGATTTTTGGAATTTTTTTACGTTGTCACTCATTTTCATCCATACAAAGTATGTTCGACATTTTTTTATATGGAAGAAAATTAACAACACTGTCAACAAAAAAAAAAAAATTGCCAAAAATCAACGGAAATATGTTTCGGTCTTATAATTATGTAACGCGGTGTACTATTAACTTGTTTGACTTGTATTTAGAGCAAATTTTAATTGTTTTTGTTTCTTTTAACAATGTTAACTTATTCGTTATTTATGTGTTAAATAAATATAAGACAAATTTTTTGTGTTCTCAATATGGAGAATTTGTCCTCCCGGAATGCTAAAAAATTCAGGTCACCTTATTATTTATTGCTAAAATGAAATGAGAATAGTCATCAAGTCAATAAAATAAATTTTAAATAAAAAGAAAAAAAGCACTGACCACGTTACACTTATTTGTTAGGTAATTGTGCAATGAAGTCAGCTATGATTTCTTTTTTTCCACATGGAATCAGTATGATATCGACAATACTAAGAAAACCTTTTGGAAAGGGTACTTAACTATCCAAAAACCACTTTTTTAGTTATTCACATGCTACGTTACACTTAAAATTTGCGGTACATTTTATTACGACTTAATAGGAGTTATAAACAACTCTTTCGCTAACTTGGAAGTATCCTGTTAAACTAATTTATTTTCTATCGCTCAGAACTTAATCGGCCAAAATAAATCAACGAAAGCTTATATTTTTGTACTTTTCCTTGTTCAAGTATCGAAAACTGTTCGTGAAAAATCCTTCGACAAAAGGAGCAAAATATTAAACAAAAAATACTTGGACATGATAAGAATTGGTGTCAGAAGCAGCTGACAGATATAGTGAATACCAATAATCACTAATAAGTTTAACATTTGGAAGAAAAAAAATCGGGATGGTTTACTTTCCTGTAGAATTGGCCATATGTATGTTTGTATGTACGAAATCTGTTAAAGGAAGATGTAATCCAAAATACATACAATCATGTATGTGTAGGTTTTGTTCTACAACCGTCCTTCTAGGTACATATGTATATTAAATTTGTAGTAGACTTGTAACCAAATTGTAAATTTGCACTGCTACTACTCATTTAAAAGAGACAGAAATACAGCAGAGGAAATCGTTTCCTGTTACTCTTTAACACTGGATCAAAATCTTTTAAAAAACTTCAGAATAGTGGAACTCAACAATTTAAGATCAGTTGTGTTTCATTTAATCCTAATTTTAAATTGTTGTTAAATGAAATTAAATTACAAATCAACTTTTATTAAACCATATGGTCAAAATTTTGGGAACGAGCGAAAAAAAATTTTTGATATGATATATTTTTTTGATATACACCTTAAGGCATCCTGAAACAAGTGCCAATTGACTTACAATGTATGTGGTGGGCGTTCACTTCTCTTGTTCCTCGCATGCGATCAAATTGAAAAATATTGTCAAATATGGTAAGTAACGTTAAAGTAACGTTTGGTTTATGAATATTTTATCCAAAAGTTAATATTTTTTATAGTTTCTTTGAACCTTGATCTTTATTAAAATACTCAAGTTTAATTTTTAACTTCGCAGGATTCGCCAAATTTTCCTTACGTGTGACCTTATACAGTATCGGTGATACCCGTCTTTAGCCCTATTAGACTAAATTTGATTGGGCTATAAAACTGTGCATTCAGAAAAATTCTAATACTTCCGAGAAAAAAGTTTGAAATTTATATGAAAATTTGTTGCACTTTTTTGTAGTATTCTACAAATTGTTAAACTTGGGTTTATAAGAACTATATTTTAATTGAAAATTCTTAAAAATAAATAAATAAACATAAGTGGCACACAATATCACTTTGAAATGGCGTGCTATAGATATGACCGATACTGTATATAACTGAACTCCAAAAAATGTAACGTTAAAGACTACTTAAAACCACATATATCTTTAAATCAACAAAAGATAGGAAACAAGTGTTTGTATATAAAATGTAGCTTTTCGGGTTTATTATCAGGATAAATGAAAAAGTCTCGATTTTTACACAACGTTTCAGAAATATAAACAGAAATATACGCCCGACTGTAACGTTAAAGAGAAAAATTTTTACCACATGAGGCATTTCATGTTACCGCGGCCACCTCTGTGCGCGACCTCTAAGGATTTGGATGAAAGTTGAAGAGATTGAAGGTCTAGGTGACATGAATATACGTGCAGCATATTTTGCCGATATGAAGTAGGGTTGCCTATTTCCACCGGACTTAAATTTTAAGAAAACGTTATACATACCTTTCTTTAAAGTGCTGTATCTTGGAAACCTTTTAACGAAACTTAATTAAAAAAAATGTATTTCTTCCGTGTTATTATGTGCTTTAATTGTACATTTACATTGATGTGCAACGTATAGAAAACAAAAAGAAATTAAGTAAACATTTTTCTTTTTGATTATTTTTTTTTATTATGGCATTTTTAAAATTTTTTATTTTTACACAAAAACATTGTCTATAATGTCAACTTTAAGTACCCAAATGCGCGTAACGGGCTACTTACGCGTACACTCAGAAAAAGGTTTAGTTATAATTACCAAGATTTGGTTATAGTGACCAAGTGGCACAGTTGAATATGGCGAAATAAATATCTAGTTCATGAAAGTCTGCAATTTACTTGAGACTTCTAGTTGGGTCAAATGTATATTTGTTAATAATTACAAAACGACTATTACGATTGACGATATTAAGCATAAAAAATACATACATATTTTCATAGATAGTTACTAGTGTAAATAATACATACTTATGTAATGGTGGTAAGAATTTCCTAAAAAGAAACGCTGAAACAGGAACAGTCGTGTGAAAACCCAGGTAAATATGTGGTGAAAGTGCTGGTTTAAGTATACTGCTTTGCTTTTTCCTTGGCTGAATAGATACTTTCAAATTATAATTCGCATGAATTATATATCCACTGAGAAACCCCGGTTGGCATCAAACTTTATATTTTGAAATAACTATGCGCACACCGAAACAACTCGCGTCGATGGCAAAACTGAAACTGAGACAAACAAGTCTGGGCATGTCATAGCACACACTTTTCTTTCTCTACCTAGCGCAGTGATCGACATGCCATAGCTTACTGAGCGCTCTGTGACCACACGCGTGTTTCGCCCATATACGCTACCGCTAGCAATGATTTCCACACAAACAGTCTCATTCATTGAATCGTTTTTATGCAATGGTCGGCATACTAGCGCATTCAAACGATAAGTGGGACTGTGTGCATTGCTCAGTTGGCGCTCTTCGTATGTGAAAAACTCATGTGCTCAGAGAGCGCTCAGCATTCTTGAGGGGTGGCTCACAAGCATGAATATGTTCCGCTCTCAAACCAAATCGTGGTTGCCTCAACTAAGATTTGGCAACTATGACTAAACCATGGATTGGAAGAAAGCTTAATATTGTAAAAATTCGGGAACTAAATATGTATCTTTAGTTGTCGAAACTAATCCTTTTTCTCAGTGTATGGACTGTAGATCCTCTAACGCTCGAGCAATATAATAAATAGACATTGAAATTTTATGAAATTGTATATTCTTGAAAGAAGAAATGTGTGTAAAAAACCAAAACAATATGAATAAATAATACTAACTTTACTAAAGGGTCTGAAATCACGAAAATCCCTTCAAGGAAATGGCAGAATTGAACTTTGTTGCAAGTTCACATGGGAACAAGTAAGAGCAGCGCAAATTTATTGGTTTTAGCAGTTCAAGTAAAGGAGTTTTACAGTAAAATCCCATATCTGAACAATCACATGTATGGAAGATACATATATGTTATAGTCACCCGATCATTGTTATTTTCACTGTAAGCATTCTGTTAATAATGAGTGAAAATGGTGCGAAATTTCATGTTCCTAGCTGCATAAATGGAGGAGTTATAACGAAAAATCTCATATCTGAACAATCAGATGTATGGGAGCTATAGGTTATAGTTACCCCATCTTTTTAATTTTCACTGTAAGTTTTCTGTTGGTAATTATTGAAAACAGTGCGGAATTTCATGTTCCTAGCTATATAAATGGAGGAGTTATAACGAAAAATTTTATATCTGAACAATCAGTTGTATGGGAGCTATAGGTTATAGTGACCCGATCTTTGTAATTTTCACTGTAAGTATTCTGTTGATAATGGGTGCAAGTATTGCAAAATTTCATGTTCGTAGCTGCATAAATGGAGAAGTTATAATGAAAAATCTCATATCTGAACAATCAGTTGTATGGGAGCTATATGTTATAGTGGTCCGATTCTTCCGGTTCCGACAAATGATTAATACATTATAAAAATACACCCACCTACCAAATTTTATCCGGATATCTTGAAAACTGAGAGACTAGATTGCATACAAATACGGACAGACGGACAGACGGACGGACGGACGGACGGACATGGCTAAATCGACTCAGCTCGATGTTCTGATCATATAAGTATACATTTTAATGGGTCTATCTCTTTTTATTCTGGTACTTACAAACATCGGACCAAAGTTATAATACCATTTCATGCTCATGGAAGCTATAAAAATGCTTGCGACGGGAGTCGAGGAAATTTTAAGAGACTAGCATCTGGAGTCTTCAACTCTTCATGTTACAACAAATTCGTCCACCCGCACAGTGCTGTATGAGCGGGCAAAAATCAAAAAAATTGTTGTCACGTATGTCAACGTGTTTGGTATCGTTGGAAAGGAAATTTATCCTAGATTAAGGATCAGGACATAGTTTTTGTTTTTATCTCATAAGGTTCTCACAAAAACCTCTTAAAGTTGTGTGTTTTTTATATATTTTTTCTTTTATGAAAATGCCTTTAGCTGGAGTCTTTAAAAAAAAATTGCTAAAAATACAATTTATCATACTTTATCTTAAGACACAATTTTTCTAATTAGAAAATCTGTAAGGAAACCACTCTATAGAGCTTTTTAAAAAATATTGAGTTTCCTGGCTGGAATGGCCTATTTGCTACACCCTAAAATTTGTTGCAGAAAATTTAAAAAATTCCTAAGTTTACAAAGGGATAAAAAAAAATATGTAAAAGTATGTTTTTTTTTATTCTTTTATTTGAAAGAAGGGGCATTTTTCTTTAAAAAAAAAAAAAAGTCTGCAGACTCATTGCGCTTTTCGAAGAAAATCGTTTTTTTTAAGGTTATAAAATAAACTTTTGCAAAAAAAAAATTTCACTGATTACAGTTACCACAGTATTTTCCATTACTTAAATGCCAAAACATTCTTTAAAAATAGTAAAGTTTATTACTGTAGACACACGCGGTAGTGTTCTGTGCTGTGTAGTGAAGCGTAAAATAGTGAAAAAACTAATATTAATATGAATTCAATTATAAAAAACTCAATTTTAGCTGATATCTGGATTTCTACTCGTCCATCAGATAGAGTGTCTGCATTATCTGCATTTTTTGAAGACAAATTAATACACGCTAAATGCGACAAAGCACTTTTGAATCAAAAAATAAAACTTTTTAATAGTGAGATGAAAAATAAGTGGAATTATAGTGGCCGCAAAAGAAGCGCTTTTGAAAAAACATATTCTAAATGGCTAAATTGGACATTCCTTTCCCTTCCGGATTCCAATGGAAATAAGGATAAATGTGCTGAACGGGGAAGACCTTCTAAAGAAGAATTTTGCGAAGCTTCACGGAGAACAAAAAATCGAAGGGTAGAGCATTTGTTGAAAAACTATTCCATCGAAGAGCTCGAGTATGCTCTGAAAAAAATGAAAAAAGCAAGCAAAGTTGAATGTTTTGAAAGTAGTACCGAAGGTTTGCCCATATCTGATTCACTCGCACTATACATAGATCTGAAGTTATCAGATCGTAAATATAATAGTTTACGTGCAAAAATAAACCGGTTGCATAAAGATTGTATACCGAGCTTAAACGCATTGCAAACAAAAAAACAAACTTTGCTGCCAACGATTAAATCGACTGAATATTCAGCCGAAGTTGATCTGAAATCATTATTGCTGAAAACAACGCAAAGTA